TCCTCAACGATTACCCACCCCGTACTCGCTCAGGGAAATAGCTGCTTCACTCCCTTTGTGACCTTGGAGAATCATTGGTTCGCTCCCCTGCTACCGGTTTTAATTTCAATCAATGCGGCCAGCGAACATATCTTGTGGAGAAAAATGGTTACCTAGGTAACTTCGAGGCCGGTTTGCATTGAGTTAATGATCATTGCTTATGATAGGTTTATAGTCTAGAGATACAAAACGAAATGACATACCATACAAACATTTTACGTAAGTCTTTCTTAGAATAGGTGCTATATGCCTAACAACAAAATTAACTCGTTTTTCTTGAGGAAACGTGCCTAGGAAAATAATTTTAAAAAATAGAACGTCAAAATATTAAACATTTAGATGAGATACTGGCATCATTATGGCTAAAGTTACCGCCAATGTAAAATGTTATTACAAGATAACAAGAGAATATGTTTTGTTGCTAACATTTACAGACTATCCATTTCTAACCTTCACTTTAATATAAAGCTCTAATATTCAGCAACAAAGTCCACCCGACTGAAGATGTTTTCAAGAGATCAAAGCTCTCTTTCTTTGCTTGTGTTTTGAAGTTAGTTTTTAATATAATTATATAAAACTCAGTAAACACAATTAAATATAGCCTACTTAGTGGTAAATTATAAAGGGCGTTGATGGTAGTTTTGACATTATTTTGTCTTGAAATTATAAAGGGCGTTGGTGGGTCCTCTGTTACCACCAGTGTTTCTTCCAGACTTTTTTCTCCGGGGGGGCACTTGAAATTTTCGGGGGGGCGGTAGACTTTCTTCGGGGGGGGGGGGGGGCGGACACTGTTAAAAGTATATATTTTCTAAATAAATTATATCAATTTCATTTCGTTCGGGGGGGGGGGGGGCGATAAAATTTTTTTGGGGGGGGGGGGGCAAGGCCCCCTCCCCGAAGAGGTGCCTGGAAGAAACTCTGGTTACCACATGTAGAAATAAGATCTAAGAACGAACTTATTTAATCTTCTATGAATAGAAAGTGCTCTATGTTTTATGAATGGAAGTTTCTGTAACCTTCTTGATTGATTTTCTTCTTTGCTGTAGAAATGTAATCTTTCACACACTGTAATGTAGATGTTGCAAGGATGTAATGTTACGATCTTTAATTTTTTTTCTTTTTCATTGTTACAATGGATGTTACGGATGGTTCAAGATACTACTACTTCATCGTGATGTCCAACGTTAAGCTTGTAAATACATCCCCGACGCTACATCAGTTGTGTTTCTATGTGTATCGTATTTTTAAAAAAAATAATTACATGATTCAAACTTTATATGTAAAGTAATTATCTGTTAAGAGTGATGTATAATACTTTCTTATTCAATTATTCTTAAGCAAATACATTATAGGGGACTCTAACTCAACACCTTTCTCGTCAGTGGTATTACCCGTGGAGTTTTTAAACATCACAAAGCACATTACTGCCTATTTTTAGAATGGCAAAACAATACAGTAGTTAAAACGCGTTGTAAAAGTAGACGCTTCGTAAATGGTATCTTGATTTAACACTAGTTTATCACTATATGCTTAGTTGTTGCATGAAAAGAAATCTTGCGATTAACATAGTTGTGCCAACCCAAAAAAAAAAAAATAAATACTGACAAACATTGTTTGAAACGTTGAGTATAAAAAGTTTCCAAAAAAGGCGCCTCTTTGCTGAAAATGGCCAGAGGGACAGCAGCCGCTACCCATGCTCTTCCCCCATGTTACGCGACTGTTTATATCCTTTATGTATATTTTAAGGTTTTAGGCAATATTACAATTAGCATCGTCAGTTTGAGCTAAGGCAATCATTTAAAAAATATTATAGGTAGGTATTTGTGTACAGATACAATTATTTTACTCAACCCTTCATGTAAGTGTGCATAAATTTATTTACGGTAAAACGCTAATTAAAAAAGAAACATCATGTCTAGCGCGCCCTAGAAAAACCAAATCAATAACACTGCACGCAGATATCGATTTTGTGAGTCACGTGTTAAGTACGTCAAGCCGGACTGCACACGTCTCTCACGATACAGGTATATATATATATATATATATATATAGCTTTATAGAGCAAACGTTGGACACAGCTGGGTAAGTTGATTTAGTTATATCGACATTAAACATAAACTTACCTATGCAATAGTTTGTTCCCAGCTTTTTATGAAATATAATTTATAAAATGTTATTATACTGAGCTTGGGAAGCGGAAGAAAATAATTTGATAATTCGGACTAGACTTTTAGCATGGTTTTTATTTTATGAATAAAGAAATACGTCAGGAAAATGGAATTTGTACAGACAAATAATCGATGTATATAAATCATAATAATATGAAAACTCAATGTCATCATACAAAGCATAGATTTAATCAAATGGAAATGATAGTGACTATAGTCTCTACAGCTTACATATTTCGTTTCTAATTGTAAAATCAACTTTTTGTCCAACACTCTCTACACCCATACATTATTATGTTTCCTCTGTTGAAAAGATACGAACTTGTATTCCATGCTGAAGAGGTTAGGGTTTTAATAAACTTTCATGGATCGGTGTGGTCAGGTCGGTAAAGCTCATGGTTGCTAAACCGAATAGTCACTCTTCTAGGAAAGACAACGCCAAAATGAAACAACTGCTTCCTTGTAGTTTGTTCTTAGTTGGACAAAGGCTATGGAAGCAAATCAAAAAAGAAAAGCAGACTGAAATCGGAGTCAATGGCATCAATGGCGCATAACTAGTTGACACGTATCCTTAATTATCCAACACAAAGATTAAGAACGAAGAAGAAGATTAAACTTTCTCCACCCGTCAGTGTTTCTTCCAGACTTTTTTCTCAGGGGGGGGGGGGGCACTTGAAATTTTCGGGGGGGGGGGGGGGGGGTGGTAAACTTTCTTCGGGGGGGGGGGCGGACACTGTTAAAAGTATTTATTTTCACATAAATTATATAAATTTCATTTCATTCGGGGGGGGGGGGGCGGTAAAATTTTTTCGAAGAGATGCCTGGAAGAAACTCTGCCACCCGTACTCACACAAGTCTATTCAGGCAACGTCCATCAAAGTCAGTTTTTCCAACAATGTCAAAATCTTTCATTGAAATATTACAATTAGTGAAGATATCAAAAGTACTCCGGATAAGTGAGATTCGGTTTTAACACAAGTGCTTCCCAGTGAAGAAACAAATCTACTTCCTTGTGTAATGCTTTAAAAATAAATTCCAATTCTACACAATTAGAGTTAAAGTAAGCAACAAGTGCTGAGTCAGTTCCAATACGACATAAATTTTAACCGGACAATGTGAAAAGTGTAGCAATATGATAGGGACTGTCTATTTCTCAACATGTATGTATATGTATAAACGATCAACATGTCATTGCTTCACTACGAAAAACACAACACAATACTTAACACATAAACAAAAACCCTAAAGCGCTAGGTAATCTTCCAAGTTGCATTTTTTTTTAATTTCACTAAATTATCATTATTTTTTTAGTTCTATAAAAATAGTGATGGGGGATGAATGGGGGTGAATGTTGTTTGTACTTGGTATCCTATCCCGTTCGTCCTTGTTCATTTCTCTTATTGTGAGTATTAAACGTGGGTGGATGTCTCAGTTTCGTCCAGATCTCCAAGGTTATTATAGGTAGGTCTATACTTATACTCGTTTTTAGCCACTGTATCATAGGTTTGCTAGCTTGTTTATTTTGTGTTTAGAATAGACTGTGTTAGCTGTAGATAGTGTAGCTATTATTAAATTATTTTAGTATTAACGAGGCTTTGTTTACATTCAGTCTTGCTTTGTATCCCGTTTGTGGCTGTAGGGCGTGTCCGTGTGTTCACAACAGCACACTTCATGTATATTAACTGTAAAATATTTTCTTTTAAGATTTATAATATTTAGTTTCATTTAAGGATTGTATTATAATAATAATGATAAGATAACATCTTTTCCTTTATATAAGTTGTGTAACCTATTCTAAACTTTGCACTACTGCTAATTTTTAACTTAAAATTAATATATTAATGATTGAGATAATAACCTCGTTGTTTTTATTTGAGAGTATACAAATTGTACTGCTACAGAACAGTTTTGATTCATTGTTTCAATGGGCAAAATTTCGTGTAAGTAATTATCACAAGTATTCAGGATCATATCTTTGTGTGAGTAAAAACATATTTACCTCAATTAAGATCAGATCATAACAATGATGAGCAAAGAAGTTTTATTGCCTATTTTATCTAAAAATAAAAGCAATATTAAATAAAATGTGTGTGAAATTTTAATACATATTTTGAAGTTTTTTGGACAAACTATATACAGCATAGCAGCAGCTAATATGTAAAAATAAGATTTTTTAAATAACGTTTTAGCGTATTTTTTTTTGTTAATTCAAATATTGAAGGAAGTTTAGTCCACAGATATTACGCTTTACATTTGTGCGGCATATGATCTGCTGACTTCGAGTTCAGGCTGGTTTTTTATCTGGATTTGATCCCGTAGGTTTTGTCTTCTCAGAAACTGTTTGCAGAACAGCAGCTATTTGAACTTAGAGTTTTCTCTCCTAGATTGTTTCCATTGGCAACATTTTGTATCAGTAATTATCACAAATATTCAGGACCATATCGTTGTGTGAGTAAAGAAATATTTACCTCAATTGAGAGAATATCATAACAATGGTGAGCAAAGAAGTTTTATTGCCTGTTTTCGCTAAAACTAAAAGCAATATAAAATTAAAATGTGTGTAAAATGTAAATACATATTTTGAAATGATTCAGATAAACTAAATACAGCGTAGCCGATATATATGTAAAATGAGCATTATTTAAAAACGTTTTAGTCAATTTTTCTTTGTTAATTCAAATATTGAACTTGTTTCCTCCACAGATATTATGCTTTACATTTGTACGCCATATGATCTGCTGACTTCGAGTTCAGGCTGTTTCTTTTTTGGATTTGATTCAGTAGGTTTTGTATTCTCAGAAACAGTTTGCAGAACAGCAGCTATTTGAATTCAGAGTTTTCTTTCCTAGATGGATTGCTGTACCCAGCTAACCAGCCACATCTGTCCTAAGTCCGAACATGGAATTTATGACTTAGCCTTTACTAGTTCTCCTTTACTTTTAGCTTTTAAAGATTTAGACGAGGAAGCAACTGATGGAATAGTAAATTATGTTGAAAGTAATGGAGTTACTGCATTAATGAAAGCCTCTGCTTTCGGAGACACTGAATGTGTAGAACAACTTTTAAAAATTGGAGCTGAAGTAAACCAAGTGGACTCCATTGGCCGTACTTCTCTAATGTTTGCATCTGAAAATGGACACTGTGAAATTATAACAAAACTTATAGAATATAAAGCTTTAGTAAATCAAGTAAATAGCAATGGACATACCGCATTAATGTTAGCCTCGGCAAATGGACATCAAAATGCTGTTGAACTTTTGGTAGAACAAAGTAATATAAATGCAGTTGACAAAAAAATAAGGACTGCTTTAATGATAGCATCTGAATATGGCAAAGACAAAATTGTTGCTGCTTTAATTAAGAAACAATGTCAAATACATACATCTGATTTTGATGGGTGGAATGCTTTAATGTTAGCGTCCGCTAACGGACACACTGAAGTCGTAGATATTCTATTAAAACACGGGGCGGAAATAAATAAAATTGAAGGTGATGGCTGGAGCTCCCTCATGTTGGCCTCTCATAAGGGATACTGGGACGTTGTAAACCTACTAATACAAAAAAACGCAAAAATAAACGCAGCTCAGTGTAAAGGGTGGACTGCATTAATGTTAGCCTCCAGACATGGACACATTAAAGTTGTTGAACTCCTAACTGAGAATAAAGCTGATGTAAATATAGTAGACTGTAACGGATGGAGTGCATTAATATTAGCCACAAAATATGGACACACAGAGATAGTTCAACATTTAATAAACATAAAAGATATCAAACTAAACGCTGTTAACAATGAAGGGTACAGTGCTTTAATTATAGCATCACAAGTCGGACATGATAAAATAGTAGAAATGTTAATAAAGCGCGGAAGTAATGTTGCAAGCACTGAAAAAAACGGTATGACAGCATTAATGGTTGCTTCTTCATACGGAAGAGAAAAAGTTGTCTCGCTTCTAATAAATGGCGGTAGTAATGTAAATAATTATGATATTAATGGATGTAGTGCATTAATGTTAGCCTCAAAAAACGGACACGAATCTATTGTAAATTTACTACTTACAAAAAAAACTAATGTCAACTACGTTCAAAGTGATGGACGGAATGCCATAATGATAGCATGCCATGAAGGACACAAAGCAATAGTAGAACGTTTGCTGGATTACGGCCATTTGGTTAATGCTATTGATAAACAACAATGTAACGCCTTAATGATAGCTTCTATAAGAGGGCTCGATAAAATTGTATCACTACTTATAGATCAAATTGAGAACATAAACGCAGTTGACAAAGATGGTTGGACAGCTTTGATGTTTGCTTGTCACGCGGGGCATGAGAAAGTTGTTAATGTATTGCTGGTTAACAATGCCAGTGTAGATGTTAAAGATAAAGATGGATGGAATGCTATAATGATTGCCGCTGAGCGAGGGCACGAAAATATCTTAGACAAATTAATAACACAAAGAAAAGAACTTGTCTCTGAGAAAAACAAGGATGGGTATACTGCATTAATGTTAGCTTCACAGAATGGGCATGAAAAGTGTGTAGAGCTTGTATTACCACATTCGAAAGTTAATGATTGCGAAAATGGCAAGTGGAACGCATTTATGCTTGCCTCTCAAAAAGGAAATATAATGCCTGTAAAACATTTGCTACAAGTAAAAGAAATAGATTTAAAGGCAGTTGAAAAAACTGGGTATAACGCATTAATGATAGCCTCTCAGAATGGACATGAAAAAATTGTACAGGAACTCATAAGCATTGGCTGCAGTGTTAATGAAATAAATGCAAGAAATAAGTGTACTGCTTTGATGCTAGCATCGAAAAATGGACATCGAGGTGTTTTTGATTTACTCATTCAATATGGAGCTGACAAAAATGCAAGAGTAAAATGTGGTCTTAAAGCATTACATTTTGCGATGTTTCAAAAATATAAAAAGCTAGATAACCACACAAAAATAGTTGAAATATTGGGTGAAACAGAAAAAAGCATTAATGTAAGTAGTGTTTTTAATATTTTTGATTGCATATCCCATAAATTATTCATATTAAATAGGTTTTGATCAATGTGATGTTAACAGTTTATACTTTTCCAATGTTTTGTAATTAGTCAGGTAAAAAATAAATAGGGGCCTAGAATTATACGTGTTATGAAATTTAAACATGTTTTCGTTTTAAATTTACAAAATTAAAAAAATGATTATACAAATTTTGAATAATATTTAAAAAACGTTGATTCTCAATTTTTTAAATAAAGCTTAGGTTACTAATTGTTTTATTATTGATTATATCGAAAATTAAATACCCTCAGTTTTCCCATTCCAATTTAGTCAAACAATGTACATCTATGTCAGTCACATATTGTTTTTTTTTCAATCAACTTATCTATTTTTGACTTATTATTTTATATTTTATTCACACAAAAGTTTTTTTTCTTTTAAATAAAGTTAGAAATGTATTGCAAAGTCATAAATTAACTGACAAAGATCATCTATTGAGTATACGTGGATTTACAATATAATTTTAAGGTATATAAAACTAACATAAAAATTGTCCTGTTGATTTTATGTTGTTATTTTTTCCCCAGATTTCTACCGATGCAATGGAAAAATTAAAAAGTTTATGTTTTGCTTTCAAAGTGCAAAAACTATTAAAATACAACCATAAATACAATGATGAATTATATACAAATTACGATGACTGTGGCGGTTTAGGTGTTTTGAAAAACGAGTCTTTTAAATCTAGTAATGTACATGTAGTGTACTTGATACATTGTCATGTTTGTAAGATGAAATATGTTGGTAGCACGGAACGGAATCTGTTTGATCGAATTAAAGAACACAAAGACGCAATAAAAAATCGTACCATACAAGGCAGTTTATTACACGATCACTTCATGTCGTATCACAGTATAGAAGATTTAAGATTTTGTGTTCTGCATCAATGCAAAGATTCTGAAAACAAATTTGATATAGAGCAAAAGTATATCCGTGGATTAGATACGAAACATCCAAATGGCCTAAACAAGAATAACGCTAGATGGTACGTTATTTGTGATATATTTGTAAATTTTAATAAAAGCTACGCTTTTATAGTTGAAAACAAATTTGATGCATTTTAGTTTTAAAATGGTTATACTAAAGTAACAGTTTCGAAGCAGGAATACAGATTCTAAAACCATATATATATATATATATATATATATATATATATATATCAATGTATTTCTGTCTGTTCCTTTGTCTGTCTTTTATGCATTACTACACCATTTATCTTATTTCCATGAAACTTTGGGAAGTTGTTGAGAATTCACCTTGGGCGGTTCCTGAGAAAAAAAAATGTCACCGTTTGACACCGTTTAGCCAATCGACATCAAACTTTGGGGAGTTAATAAGAACGCTAAGGGTAAATTGCTAAGAGAATTTTTTTTTTATTTCGCACGGGAGGCCCCCAGGTTTTCCCGTGAGCGCTGTAGCGCATACGTTCGTTTTAAACAGTGAAATTAACGATGGATAAGATGAGGCGTTATAGTTATTCACTAAATTGAATCTAGCGCTTTTGTCATGGAGCGATTTGGCGCCCCAATCTATTCCGTGAGCGCTATAGCGTCTACATTCGTTTTAAACAGAGCAATAGACAATAGTTGTTCGATAAATCGAATCAGGCGATTTTGCCAGCGCCCCGTCAGGGAGAAATTTGGCGTCCCGTGCTATCCAGTAAGCGATATGGCGTCTACATTCGTTTTAAAAAGTGCGAAAGACTATGCATAAGATTGGGTTTTAGAGTCGTTCACTAAACATAATCAGACGCTTCTGACGTCACGCCGGCAAGGTTCGATTTGGCGCCCTGCGCCTGCCTATGTGCACTATGGCGCCTACGTTAGTTTTAAGAAGCACACTGCAATTTTGATAAGGTGACACACGACAGTCGCTGGTTAAACTGAGAAGCGCCCCTGTGGTAGCGTAATAAGGGGCTCACGAGAGTGCCCTCTACGTCCCCGGCAATTAGGCGGTGAGTCATTAACGGTGATATTACGGTTAGTGATTAATGTACACTCAAGGCGTGCTGGGCCGATGGGTAGGTAAACCCATGATCCTATAAATATTATCCAAGCGCATGCTTGTCCATGACGCCTGGGCGGTCACTTAAGTGTGTTCCACTTCACTATTAGGATGAGTGATTAACGTGCACTCAACGCTTTCATGCGATAGTGCCCTAATAAATGTGATCCAATCGCAAACATTGTTTACAAACAAATAACTCAGTTTTAGAATACAAGGTCACACCTCTAAGAATAAAAGATTGGTAACGCATTGGTGAAATTCTTCTTATATATTTTGCCAGACTTTCTTCATCCCTGTGCAGTGCGTGGGAACGGGCACGCTAGTGTATTATTTTAAAAAAAAGTAAATTCGGTAAAGAATCGTATGTTATTTTAAGAACTGTGTTTGGTCTCGTCTAAAGAAAGAAATTTAGCTCACCGGTAGAGTTAAAATGAAAGTTATGTTAGTATTATTGAAATACGCTGTAATAAGATTTTTTATTGTCTGCTCAGATCTTAAATTTTATTTATAAAGTTAATGTATAAATTACTTCTATAATAAACTAAAAGAAAAACAAATCGTGGTCACGTGGTCGAGATATTTTTTGCTAAATTGTGGCGTTGGTAGGAATAGGTCCTAGAGGAAAATGTTTAAAAATCTTGCTACATTTATATATATATATATATATATATATATATATATATATATATATATATATATATATATATATATATATATATATATATATATATGTATATATATATATATATATATTAGCCGTACCAGCCAGGCTCCACAAGGGCTATTGAGTTAATAGTTATTTGCTACATTTATATATATATATATATATATATATATATATATATATATATATATATATATATATATATATATATATATATATATATTTTATATATATATATATATATATATATATATATACATATATATATATATATACATATATATATATATATATATATATATATATATATATATATATATATATATATATATATATATATATATATATATATATATATATATATATATATATATATATATATATATATATATATATTAGCCCTACCAGCCAGGCTCCACAAGGGCTATTGAGTTAATAGTTATTTGTAAAGGGTCATGACTTATGTGCTCATTAAACATTATATACCCTTTCACTTCAAGTTCTATATGTAAATGTGGACGTTTGTAAAAATATAAACACAAACGCAAAAATGAAGGTAAACTTCAACACAAAAGTTAATTTGAGACATAAACATGTACAAAAATTATGTAAGTCATAATCCCGAATTCTTCTAGCTGGTGCATTTCTATGCTCATCATTTGACTCATCAATAAATTACGAAACATTCAGGAGAATGATGTTGAATTAAAGCTTTTATTACTTGAGGAGTATAAATCCAGGATAAACGTGTTAAAACCCCAATATTACACCTACAGTACTTTTAAAATAGTGTTTTATTAGAAATTGTCTTTTAAAAGTCGACGTTATACAAACATTTGAATCAGTTAACAAAATTTGAAAACATCTCTCCATACCTTTTTTTTAATTGGGCCTGCTGTTGTTAACATATTAGAGTTATAGTGCTGCTTGTCTAAGTCCAATTGAAAACATAATATGATTCTAAAAAATTTTTGGGACCCCTAATAATAAGTAGCCAATGAGTGCATCCCACTTAGCCCACCCCATTAATACGCTACTGGAATGGGGGGGGGGTGGATGTATAGATACATGAATGCATACAAGCATATGTTTTTTAATATGTACAACTTTATTTCCAGCTAAACAAAGTCTAAAACTATTGGTACCGACGAAAACTATGTGTCGTAAGTATGCTATTTATTAAGTATTTTTCATATTCTATAATTGATTTGAATTTTGTTAATGGAAGGTAGATTGCATTTCTGTTTATTAGGAATCTCGCTATGTCTGTTTACTATCTACATTAGGTTTCAACACTATTATAAATTTTCATAAGAGACGCTGGACAATCATTTTAAGTTTAGAATACAAAGCATTTATCTAGTTATAACAATAAACTAGATTTTAGCCGTTTTTTTTTTTTTTGGAGAACAAAAAGATTTAAAATATAGTCCAAAGAAATGTAAAGAAAAAATAGAAAAACATATTAAATAATAATTTTTTTTTACTAAATAATTGCATGCCTTAAATATTTGTTTATTATCAATGGGATAGGTTAAAGTCGGATATAATTTAAGTAAAAATAATAAATTTTCTTTACAGATAAAAGTGGCTTTCCTTAAAATCTGTCATGGAATCCCATACAGTTATTGTTAATCTTTTGGTTTTAATTTTCTCCGCATAGAAAATGCACTGAGTGAAATCGTAGGCTTGAAATCCATTATTATTATTTTCAAGAAAGATTTAATAACTGAGTAATTTAATTTGAGTGTGGTTCAAACGCAGACAATATTATAGAAAAAAATCGATGATTTTAAAAACAAAAAAATGTAAGCGGATGTGTAACTTCTTTGAGATGTGTATTTTTTTAAAATGCCTCTCAGATATAGGTTATGCTCACCTGTATCTGTGACCCAAAATATAAAGGGATATTGTTGTCTGTTTTAAGTTTTGCCAAAATCGGTTTATTTAAAAGACAAAAACATGTTGCCTGAGGCGTGACCTTCTTTTTAGATGTGGTGATCTGGTTTTTTTATGACGATGCGTTGTGAAAATAGGGTGAGGGAAAATACAAATCTTCAAACAAGCATGACTTCATTTCTGATTGACCCCCCTGAACCCACAGTAATCCAAAGAATAATTTCTGGTCTAGTATACTTTTAAATAAGGAATTCATGCTCCTTTCTACATACACAGTTTGCTATTCTAACAAAATGTTAGTAGAAATTAATCGGAGCAACCGAAATATTTTATTCAACAGCACAGGTGCACAACCTAAGTAATGAAATTAGTTATAGTTAATAATGTGTTTTCTCCTCATAAGTATAACAGTGAAGTAAAAATAAAAGTAGGATTGGCGCAATAAAGACTAATAATTATAAACATAATATATATTTTCTTGCTTTTGTTTTTTTAATACATTGTTTTGCTAATATTAATTTACAATGCATTAAATAATATGTATGTTAACTGTTTAAGAAACTGATGCCTTTTACACACTAGGAGGAGTTGTTATCATTGTTTTCTCTGTGTACGTGTCAAAGCTTATATTTGTGTTTCAAACATACCAGTGATTGTAGGTTCGTAAATACAAGAAACTGGACTCCAATTTACATAACTAGATAACTTTATTTACCCAGTAGAAATAATATGAATCTATCATTGAATGAGTGTACGGTCCAGTGGACAAACTTTGAATTTTCGATTCGCACCCCCCCCCCCCCGCTCAAACTTTCGATTTGCACCCCCGTCAAACTTTCTATTTGATTTGCACCCCTCCCCCTCAAACTCTCGATTTCCACCTCTTAAAAGACTATTTAACACTCGAATTAATCACTTAATCACTTAATTTAAGTGGAAATATAATTTTTCTCTATATATTTTGCTTTTTTTTTGCCTTGGTGGCACCCCCTAAATGATGTCACCCGGTGCGGTCCACCCCACCCCCCCCGCCCCCTCTAATTACGCCTCTGGTACGGTGTACACATTATATAAATAAGTAAATAAAAAATACATTTAAGCACCCCGTCTATCGTCCACATAATTCTCCCGTCTTGCATTCGTCTATATAAATATAAGGAATACAACAAAGTATTGAGTATTAAATATATGTTCATGCTTTATTTTTTAAAAATATCTATACAATATTAAATAAAAATATGTAATACGTACTTTCAAATACCGTGTTTTGTTTTAATATTATTATTTTTCACATTTATGTACGTTTGTAAATGTGTGGTGTTACATGAAATATGCATTCTCGACAAGAGGCATATAGTTATAGGGGAAGATTGACAGGTGTTAACTGATATTGCGGTTACTAATCTAGGGCTAATGCAAAAGGGGAGGATAGGCCATAGACTAATATACTTGGTCGCAATGTCATTATGGATTTGTATTTATTGATTTAATAAAAGTAGTTCAATAAAAGTAGATCCTGTACATTATGTTTTATAACTAGGCTATATTTACATCCGTATAAGATGAGAACTAACATAGCACGTGTAGGACAAAGTGGAATTATTAAATGTGTGTTTCCAAAACTGGCCTCGACTGACCGGCGCCTTATTTGAGCTACTTTACGAAAAAAACTTTTCCAGAACTACACCCCCTTTGAAATTTTGTGAGGGGGTAGAAGAACTCCTAGGGGTGTCAGAAAAAAAAAACTCGCCATATCCGGCAAAAATCTAGAAATGGGTCAAAACTAACCAGTCATATTTCCCTATATACTATATAATCTTTGTATTTTATGTGAAAAACAGAGGGTAATTTTAACACAGATTTTAAAGAAAAAGAATTGTTTTTGTTTTCTGATGCCATTTTTTATAAGCCATCTTTACTTTTAAGGAAGTAAATTGTAAAAAGGAAAGCAGTTTGCAGAAAAGGAGGTCATTTCTAAAAATTTTCAGATAAACTTAGAATTTTGTGAAGGATAAAAATTAAGTTTGTTCTTTGCAATTTAAATTAATTATTTAAAACGTCTAATTGAAAAAATGCACACTTATTAAATAAATGATAAATATTAAATTTTCTAGACATCACTTTGGAATGTAATACAAAAATTAAAGCCTTATGAATATAGCACTATTGTGATAAATAGGAATTTTTTTTACTATTTAAAGTGTTCTTCAAGTCCGTCACATATAGATATACCCACCAACACCTTACATATTTCATCTTTATAGTATAGATATTATCAAAAGATATTCTGTGTGCATATGATTTTTCATCATGTAAAACATTTGACTATTCATGTTAGTTTCATTAATATAAAAGAAAGACTTATAAAAGAAAATACTGGCCACTAATTAAAATAATACATTTACTCAGGAGCGTCTCAAAGGTGAGGGGCGAGGTGAGTGCGGACCGCACAGCGAGACACACTGTAGGGGGGGGAGAAGTGACACACTGTAGGGGGGGCGGGTGAGAAGTGACACACTTTAGGGGGGGGGGGGAAGTGACACACTTTAGGGGGGGGGAGTGACACACTCACAAAAAAATGCAAAATTTACTATTGATTTTTGCAGTTTAATAAATGATTGATTAAAGTTTACTAGTTTAAAAACAAAAATACAAATAGACGACCCAGACCAATAGGGTTGAGGACAGAGTTTCTTCCAGGCATCTCTTCGGGGGTGGGGGGGCTTAGACCCCCCCCCCCCCCCCCGAAATTTTTTTACCGCCACCCCCCCCCCCCCCCCCGAACAAAATGAAATTTATATAATTTATATGTAAAATATATACTTTTAACAGTGTCCGCCCCCCCCCCCCCAAGAAAGTCTACCGCCCCCCCCCCCCCCCCGAAAACTTCAAGTGCCCCCCCCCCGGAGAAAAAAGTCTGGAAGAAACACTGGTTGAGGAAGGGGGGGGTGGGGGTGGGTTGACAAAATGTCATAAATTTGCTAACTATATAGAAAACAATGCTGAATCCAGCTGTATCAAAACAGACTATAGTTAAACAAATGTTGTTATTAACTGTGCACAGTTTAAAGCAATCAGCCGGAGGCGGAGGTGACACCAGCTAAAACTTGTGCATTCTTTGAAGAGGCAAAATAATATGTGTTTAGTATTTTCAATAGCTGATTCGTCGATTAACGCCATTTGAGAATTGGTCTGACAAATTTTACAAAACGAACGAACCAACAAACAAACGAATGCACGAATAAAGAATTAATTAGTACACAACAGTTAGATTTCACCTGTGTTTAATTTAGAAAATAAAACTTTAGTCTTTTTTTTTTGTAAAAATTTTTGAAAACTTGAGTTGGATCAGTCTGGTTGTAATTTACATCTCTATTAATCAACGATTGTCCCTGAAACTGTGTATTTGTCTTTCATAAACATGGCACCGAATCAAAATACCGTATTTAAAAAATAACGAATCTAAAGTTTACGAGTTATTTTTTAAAATGAATTGTGACGTACGATTCGGTCCACCAAACTCACAGGTAACACCGTTTCGATATCTACAGCTCGCTTAAGGACAGGCGTGCTACACAAAAACATCACCCGTTTATCCGCAGTGAAGTTTTATCGTGCGCAATGTTGGCACACCCGAGTAAATCTCCTTCACAATATTGACTTAAAAACTAATCCTACACATGAACAAGTACGTCGCCAAACTTTTATTAGAATTCTCATTTATATGTTGATGGACGGAGTTGATGAAAGGAAAATAAAATAAATAGATTATTCGGTTAGATTTCTGTCAGGATGTGTTTCTTTTGATTGTTAGTTATTCCTTGTTATTGTGTATATCGGAATCACGTCTCTTATATACTCAGTGGTTGGGGTGTAGCTGACGTGTAGCTGATGTGTAGCTTTGAGGTAGTTAACTACAGGAAGACCCAGAGACAAGACCATATTATGGTCTAAGCTGTCTATAATAGTAAAGTACCAATGTTAACTCAGAATACTGTGTCGGTTTTAATAATGTTTTATTTGCATTTGGTGAGTAAATGGCTTTTTGTTCAACAAAAAATAGTGTTTTCTATAAATCCCTTTTATATTACACATTGAAATAACATTTTAAACTTTATCTGAACATTATGTACTGTTGGTTGAGATTTTGGCTACAGATTTTTGAAACTGTTATTTTAAGATAAACATTTACTCGCAATCCCTACCAATACATTTTTTACGTGAAATTATATAAAATAAATAAAGGCACGTTGAGG